ATGTCATTCTTTTTAAGACTAAAATGCAATGCTTAATAACAAAACTATTTGAAATATGGTTTGTAGGTTATGCTTTATATATAAATGAATTTTTCCTAATTTTTAAACATTGCTTTTAATTCTAAATATAAATTATGAATCTTCAAGTATTATAATCCAAATGCATTATTAGAGAATCAACTGGAAATAGTAAGTACTTACAAACCTTTGGTCACAGAAGTACTCAACTGGGAGATTGTGTTCAGGACTTACTGTATAGTAATTTTTAATTGGATTATCCTGTAGTGTTTTCATAATCTTTATGGTTCCTCTGTAGTTTGGCTGATCAGTGGCCAAGCTAGATCAAAATGCTGAACACTGATAGTTGGTTTGGGGTTCACACCTTACCAACAGGCTCACTAATTTAAAAATAAGATGTGTGAGTGTAGCATTGGCTTCTTGGGTTTTTTAAAACTTTTTTGCTCTGTGGACATTGAGATTTATTTTAGAAAGCCCATTATGGGTTAGGCCAGGCCCACAATGGTGCAACCAAGTGCATGGATGGGCCCAACATATCCAAGATGGACTACTACACAAAAAATTCTTGGTGTTTTTTGACCCACCTGGATTTAATTCCAGTTCCCTAGAGATTGACTGGAAATGTTTACTGAACCACCTGATATTTTCTTATTAACCCTTAACCTATCCTATGTTGTTCCCAAAAATATTTGTATTGACCTCATTGACTTGCGTGGGCAATCCCGAATATATTCGTGTTTACATCGGAACGTTTTTTATACTAAATGTTGCCGTGTCACAATTTTTATATTAAAATGAACTTTAGAAATACAAAAAATTATATTTTAATATTATTCAATATATTTATTTTGTTTGTAAAACACAAAAAAAAAAAAATTTTACGATACAGTAAACACAATTATCATTAAAAAAAAAAAAAATTTAGGCTTAACATCAACGAAAATTCAACATGGTGTCACAGGCAACAAATAAAAATTTCAACATCGAATAGGTTAAGTACTTTTTGAGAACTAAATCATTGGTAAGTCTTTGCCTAGTAATTGTCACAGATCAGCTTTAACTGTTAATTATGAAAGTTCCTTATGACTATTTTTCTACATAACTGGCCAAACTTCAGCCTACATTCAGACTCTTGTGCTGAAAAACTGCAAAACCAACCGACCAATCATTTTACCTTTATTAATGTTTATTTTTTCTTATTAATATAATTTTATTGCTGAAATATTTGACATAGAAAAGATTGAATATTTTATTTTAATGAAAAAGCTTATATCAAGAGCAAAATATTTGTTAGTTTAATATACAAAACAGTTTTAAATTAGATAAGTTTATTTTAAAATACAGAGAATTATATTGACACATTACAAATTTGTTGCTTAAATATTATGTAATGTAATAAATTTGAACACTTGGCATTCTTTCATTTTTATTTTAATTTAGTTGATACGCGTTTTAGATTACACGTTTTGGGTGTAATATGCCCCTCCTCAGGAACTAAAAAATGACAAGAATACATACAATACATAAAAAAGTAAAATAAATATAAATGATTAAGAAAAATATCTTAATCATTTATATTTATTTTATACATACATACATACATACATACATACATACATACATACATTCCTTGGGATTTTTACAAACTGGGTTCTATTAGGTGAATACATAATATGTATATGGCTTACATGTGTACTATTGTATATCTATTTAAACAATATTATAAATATAACATTAATCATCACAATACATATATCTAGGCTTTTAACATACCTCTTTTTTTTCCCCCAAATACAATTAAAGGGTAAGTATACCTCCAGTGCTTTACATTAATCTATTTCATATTAAAAAATGCTTAATTCCTCTGTATTATCTATACAAATATATTAATAAACGATATACCAGTTTTTATTATTTTGAAACTTATGTTGTTAGCATCCTTCCTTATGTTTGTCCAAGAAGCCATATGGTGTTGAATCAAATTTCATTTCAAATTCTATCGGTTTTTACGTGTTTTTTTTTAAAAAGGAAATTCACTATAAATTATCTTGTTGTAATAACACGGAATAAATATGATGTACCTGATTTTTCTTTATAAAATTGAATATAACCAATAGAGCATAAATGGTTGTATCTTCACCTGCTTTGCATTATATTGTAATTCTGTTTTCACCTTTTTACTATGCAATAGTGTACTAATTAATCATTTTCTCACACTAAGATGGCAATGATTGACTTTATAATGGTTACTTTCTTTCGTCAAAAAATATTTTTATCTATTTAATTATGGCANAATGATATAATTTGTAATCTGGAATTTTTTGCATACCTTTTTAATATGTATTTAATTGCGGCTCACGAAAAATTTCAAATTTTGAAAAATGGCTCGGACTATCAAGGAGCTTGGCCATCCTGGTTATATACAGTTGAAAGTACTTGCAACATAAATATTTTTGTGTAATGCTAACTGACATTGGTGTATGTCTGTAATGATAGAGAGAAAATTTATGAGTACTTTAAACAGTTTGTTACCAACCTCTTCAGGCATACGTATAATTTTGATATCATTACAAATTTCTCACTGAATGGCAATTTTTCAGACACCAGGTAATACCTGGTATTTTTAATCTTGTAGTTAACTTGTTTTTGAAAGTCATATTTACATAATAGTAAAAAATTTTCATAAATTGTAAAAAAAATATAGTAAATGTAATAAAGCCAATTTTATAAAACACTTAGAATTAAGTGACAAAGTCACTTTTATAATTATTTTAATATGTAACAATCTAATTCATTTGGTTAAATGATTTGTGTATGGTACAGTCAACAATTTTTTGATTAACCATTCTGGTGGTTTGGTGTGAAAATATATATATGGTACATGTGATATTTGGTTATAAATCAGCTTTATCTGTAATGGTATCAGATTCCCATTGTTGAAGTTTAATGAAAGGTGTATATGTTACCGCTAAAGCTCAAAAGCCGTTAATGTGTACATTACCTAGCTAATCTGCAGATTAACTAGGGTGATCTGTTAAAGTTGCGAAAATTGTTCCATTTCTCAAATTATCTAGGTAGTGTGCACATCACCTACTAGCCACTCAGTAAAGTGAAAATAAGATCTTTGCTGAAACAATAGCAACGTTTCTGTACGCTTAAATTAACATAATGTTGTTTATCCTGTAAATGTTCGTCCGATGGAGAAATATTTTTAATAAAATTGAAGACAAAACTGTCCAAAAAGGATCACCATTTATTTTTTGTGTTCCAAGACTAACACATTCTTGGAGACTGACCTTTCTTTGTAGGCTGCTTGTCACCGGAAAATTACAAAGAGTCCTTTCAAAAAACACAAAACACATCCAATTAAAATTACAAAAATTTCTGAAAAAGGAACTGGTGACATACAGTTGTCCTGCTTACATCCATCTATACCTTCTTTTGGGGGTTTTGGCTGCTTTTTTTTTTCCAGCCAAAACCCCCAAAAGAAGGTATAGATGGATGTAAGCAGGACAACTGTATGTCACCAGTTCCTTTTTCAGAAATTTTTGTAATTTTAATTGGATGTGTTTTTTAAAAGGACTCTTTGTAATTTTCCAGTGACAAGCAGCCTACAAAGAAAGATCAGTGTTTGAGAATGTGTTAGTCTTGGAACACAAAAAATAAATGGTGATCCTTTTTGGACAGTTTTGTCTTCAATTTTATTAATAATGTTGTTTATTTAATTTTCGATATCTAAAGAATCAAGTTAATACAATCAACAAATTAGTTAATAGAATCAATCATCAATTAAGTAAAAAACTGTAATACAAAAAAAATGAAATGGTTTAAAATATTATTACAATTAGGGAGATGGTGGATTACCACTTATGGAATTTCGGAACTTTGATTATATATCTGAACTGAGGGGACTGAGACGAGTTCAACAATACCCTACTTTTGGACCAGAGACGAAAAGTAAGAAAGTTATAATACTTTTTCCGGCGATTGCATGATAAAATTGTGTGTTAATGTTACCTTTGGTGACTAAAATGGTGGCTCGTCTCCAATTCCAGCAAACCGAAGAAAGGAAACAGTGGGGACGCACGTTCTAACCTAACCTAACCTATTCTAATAAATTACCGTAATTATTACCAACCAAATTATTAGAATAGGTTAGGTTAGGTTAGAACGTGCGTCTCCACTGTTTTCTTTCTTCTGTTTGTTGGAATCAGAGACGAGCTGCCATTTTAGTCACCATAGGTAACATTAACCAATTGTGCTTACTTATTAGTGTAGTCTAAAGATTGGTGACACTTTGAATTACATAGGTGTGTTTGTCACAAAAAAGAATTGCTATTTGTGGTACATTTATTTGTAGCAAAGATCTTATTTTCACTTTACAGAGTGCCTAGTAGGTAATGTGCAGATTACCTAGATACTCTGCACATTACCTAGATAATTTGAGAAATGGAACAATTTTCGCAACTTTAACGGATCACCCTAGTTAATCTGCAGATTAGCTAAGTAATATACACATTAACAGCTTTCGAGCTTTAGTGGTAACATATACACTGTATCAAAGAAGAGAAATTTTATATCAATGCTAAAATTTGGCATCAAATTGCCAATGATGAGGGAAATTTGGATACTAGTTCAAGGTATGTTTTAACTCCATAAAGCTATAACAGATATATGCAACAATGCATTATTTCAAGTGTAGCAGCAAAGTAATTGTAATATATGTTCTGCTGATATCATAATTTTTATATATTGTTACTATTTTTCAAAAATAATGGAACTTTTATTATAAGACAAAATACTAATTTGTATAAATAATTATTTTAAATTGAAATTTTATAATTGAAAACCCATTAATTTCAAAGTTTCTAATGAAAAAAATGATACATTCTTACTTGAGGAAACATTTTATAGCCTATTAATTTAAAAATTTCCTGTTTTGAAATTACAGTTTATTGAATTTTTGGAAATTTTGATTTCAGGAGTGGAAAGTCATCTATTCAGAAAGTTGTTTTTCATAAAATGTCACCAAATGAAACATTATTTTTAGAAAGTACAAATAAAATAGTTAAAGATGGTAAGTTATTAATATGTTTTATTCTCTAAAGGCATTCATTTACATAAAATATGTATGTAATATATATCATAATTTTCAGATATATCCAATAGTTCCTTTGTTCAGTTTCAAATCTGGGATTTCCCTGGACAGATAGATTTCTTTGATCCTACATATGACATAGAAATGATATTTGGTGGATGCGGTGCTCTTGTTTACGTTATAGACGCACAGGTAATTTTTTTATATATTTGAGATGCTTAAGAAAACTGTGTGTAATAAAATCTTACAAGACATCTATGTTTTCAGGATGATTATATGGAAGCATTATCAAAACTTCACATGACAGTGACAAAGGCATACAAAGTCAATCCAGACATAAAATTTGAAGTATTTATTCATAAAGTAGACGGGTTGTCAGACGATCATAAAATAGAAACGCAGAGAGATATTCATCAGAGGGCAAATGATGATTTATCTGATAATGCTTTAGACAACATAAATTTAAGGTGAGAAAAATATAAATGTTACTGTACAAATACATCATTTGAAATTGAAAGAAATTTACAACATACATGTTAAAAATTTAACTATTCTTAAATAATAAATTTGATAAATTTGAAATAATGAACATTACAAATGTAAAAGAAACTTTCAGTTTATGCACAAGGATAATTAAATATTGCATACCACACCTGAATAAATCTAAATATATAAAATTGCTTGTCCTGACTGACTGACTCACTCACTCACTGATTCGTCATCGCCCAGAGCAGACTGCTTAACCTAAAGACGTGAAATTTGGTAGACAGTTAGGGTACGTCATTGAAATGCATAGTAAGAAGGGATTTTTCAAAATTCCTCTGCGGGGGGAGAGGGAGAGCATTAAGGCTTAACCTGAAGAACGGCTTCTACTGTAATATTTTAGATGCAATTTTTTGTTTCTAAGTGCATTTTACTAGGGTATGCCATGGCAATGCACACTAAGATGGGATTTTTCGAAATTCCCCCACGGATGGGAGAGGGAGAGGATTTAGTCTTCATCGAGTACTTAGGTGTATTAAATTAATAACATTTCAGACATTGTTATAAATAATTTTATATATTTCGATTTTAAGAATGTTCAAACCATTTTAAATTTGAATTTGTTATTGCATATTGGTTCGATTATAGAACGATTGTAAACATTCCAGAAAATTGATCAAATTGAAAATAGTTTGATTCTCGGCAATTCTCATCATTCTCAGTGGTAGGTGTTATATAACAATTACTATGGTTATTGCTTGCAAAATCTGTGCGAGCAAAGCTGCAAGTAGCAGCTAGTATAAAATAAGACTTTATACTAGGTGTGTCAAACTCATTTAAACAATGGATCATTAATGCAACTGGTAAGATTCATGCGGGCCACACAGGGCTGCCGAGTTGGTAAAAAAAAAACACTTGACTCTGACTCCTGATAATTTTAGTAGACCAACTGCAACTCTGGCAAAATTAAATACCAAGTCATTTTATGAGGGGGCAGAGGCAACTCATAGGGAGGCACTCTACTCTGAACTCTGAAAGGAGCCTGGGGTGTTTACCCAAATACATTTATAGTTAGTATTTTTAATATTTAAGTTACATTAATATTTACAGTAGAGCATCAATTATCCAACCTCTGATTAACCGTCACATCGGTTAACCGACCGTTCTAGTCGGCAAATTTCAAATGTTTGCTAGTGATGTGGTGCTACAATATTTGGCCATGTCTTGGCTATTTTAATATTATTTTTGTTAAATTTTTGCGTGTTTTAGCTGGCAAACACAGCTCGACCATGGAAGGAAGGCCAGTATTTAAACGAGACTTAATTTTCTAATTATGAGTGGTTGTTTGTTTTGTGAGCAATAAAATAATTTTTAACGATACAATAGCGACGATTATTATTTAAAAAAAAAATTTGTTTGGCTTAACATCTATGAAAATTCAACGCGAAGTTGATTAATAGCAATATACTAATATGCTATTTACATGGGATATACTAATATACTATACAGTGGGTGATCGGTTAACGAACAGATCGGACAACGAACAAATCGGATAATGAACACTTTCGCGAAAGATTTTTATGTTTGGACAACGAACACATGATCGGATAACGAACACTTCACAGAACAAACACAAGAAGAAGCGACGTAAAATAATGAATACCGATTGGACTTCCCTCCTCTTCAGGCAACAATTCAAAATTTTTCGGAGTGTGGGAGACGTCAACATCGACGCTCAAGCCGGTATATAACGATCGGATAGTATTCCTCCGAACTTTGAAACTCTCCCTTGTAATTCCAGCCTTTTATCTTTCTGACAAAATAATTCTTTTACGTATTCGCGAGACTTTCGGATAGGCACTCGTTAAGTTTTGCGTCTGTTTTTCTTTTCTAAAGGTGAGAGTATAATAGCAAAGGTAGAGAGTGAGCAGAAGATGCCTAATGTTGCTGGGCAGTATGGCGTGAATAGGTCTACAGTAGGCTGCAGTTCAATTTTTGTTTTAAGAAAAATACTGTATAATCAAGAAGACTCAAGCAGCTAAAAGAGTAACAAAAATCACATCTCAGAAATAAAGAACATCGAAGAGTTCAATGGAACCCGAAACGGATCTGACGACAGAAGAACGCCAAGATCTCTTGAATGAAGAACACCAAGAAACTCGGTGAGATATGTTTTCTTCTGAAAAAAAAGAGGATTAATGCTGATATCTGCTATTAATTAAAAATCTTTTGAAGAAGTGGGAAGATGTCAGAACAACGGTCTTAGAATGGCATCCAAACCAGGTTGAGGCTTGGGGATTTCTACAATTGCAATGCTATCAATTACTTACTAAAAATCCCAAAGAAGAGAGAAAAGCAATCGGCATTAGACAGATTCTTTAACCCTTTCAAATGAAAAAAAATATGACTAATAAAAACGCAAAACTGTATGTATGTATTTTTATTACTACATATAAATAAACGTAGTAAGAAAGTGTATATTTTTTGGGGGGTCTCCAGAACGAATTAATTAAATTCCCATTAAAACCTATGGTAAATCGATAATCGGTTAACGAACAATTCGGATAGCGAACAAAGTCTTGGAACGGATTATGTTCGTTAACCGATCACCCA